GAAGCGGCGAGATACCTTGTGCAGTGACCTTATGCCCTAGGAAAGAAAGTTCTGGAACGTCGAACAGGCATTTGTCGTTCAATTTCAGGCCTGCGGACTTGATTTTCTGCAAGACCTTTGTTAGATTCAAAAGATGTTCTTCTGCACTTTTCCCAGAGACTATCACGTCATCAATGTAGAACAACACACCAGGGCAGCCATCCAGAATTGTGGCCATCATCTTCTGAAATGCTGCTGGGGCAGAAGCTAACCCAAAGCAAACTCTTTTGAACCGAAAAAGTCCTTCATGCGTGATGAAGGCTGTCAGGTCCCTGCTGTCAGGGTGCAAAAGAACCTGATGGTAGGCAGAAGCCAAATCAAGTTTTGAGAAGTGTGTCGCGCCTACCAAGGCATGAAGGAGTTCCTCTGTATGAGGCAACGGGAAGCTGTATGGTACAATAGCCTTGTTAGGCTCCCGGAGGTCAACACAAATTCTGATGGTGCCGTCTTTCTTGTCAACGACAACAATGGGCGAAACCCATTCAGAAGCATCGATGCGTTCGATGATGTCAAGGCTCAGCAACCTGTGAAGTTCATTTGACACTGGTTCCCGAAGTGAATATGGAAGACAGCGCAGCTTCGAAGATACCGGCTGAACGCCTTGCCAAATCTTGACACGATGCGTGAACCGCTTAGCAAGACCCAACTCGGGACTGAAAAGTGAACCAAAGTCGTGTTCCAAGGCTGGCGGAAGGTTTGCTTGCCTGGGTTGCTCTATTGACTGCATCGGAATGTGACAAAGTGTCGGGTCATTAACACGCGGCGGCGGGGCAACGGACGTGTGCAGGCACTCAAGAGTGGAGCCCTGTATTCGAAGATTTAGGGCCTTAATGCTGTCGAGGCCTATCAGACAAGTTCCTTGGCGAACGATGTAGAAAAGAAGTGGTGCAGAGCGCCCTTTAAACTGAACGTCTGCCTGGAAACAGCCTAGCACGGAAATTGGGCGTTTCGAATAGTCAAGAAAAGTGACATGCGGAGCTGGGAAGAGCAAACTGCTTTGAAAATGTTTGTGAAATTCTCGCTCTGATAGAATTGAAACAGACGACCCTGAGTCAACAAGGAATGACAACTTGACATCCGCTACGCGTACTTGTATGTAAATTGCGCTGCGAGTGGAATGCTGCACAGTCAAAACTTGCTCAGAACTTCCCCCTGACAAAGCATCGTCATCGATGCCAACTTCACGAATCCTGCCTTGCATTTGACGCTTGCGATTGCATACTTTCTGAAAGTGGCCCTTGATACCGCAAAACAAACACTTTTTTCCCTGCGCAGGGCACTGTGACGCTGATGCGCGGTGATTCCGCGAGCCGCATCGGAAACAGTGTGGTGAAACGGACCGGCTATCTCTGTCTCGCCGAGGGGGGCGGGGCCCCTGCGGCGCACGCGAACCGCTAGCGCTTGGAGAGTTTTGCTGAAAATGCGCTTTTGGCTGGAAATTGAAGTTTCGCGAAGAATGCGAATACTGGGAACGACGCCGTACAGAAACAGGCTCGACCAAAGCAGAAAATTCCTTCGGCTCTTCAGCTGCTTGCTCAAACTGAAGAGTGATCCGCACTGCGCTCTCGAACGAAAGGGAGGAACCTTCGAGCAGCAACCGTTCACGTACGCGGTTGGAAACAACGCCGGCAACAAATCGGTCCCGCAGAGCATCATCTTGTGAAGCGAATGAACAATGCGGAACGAGCTCCCGTAAAGCAGCAACAAAGTCATGAACGGACTCGCCTGCGTGTTGGCTGCGGCGGTGGAAACGATGACGCTCGACGACGACATTACAAGACGTGGAAAACTGCTGCCGTAAGACGCTGAGTGCAGCCTCGTACTCGTCAGTAGCGGCCACGGGAGGCTTCTCTTGTACTTCCAGTGCTGCGGCGCTTGCTGGTGCTGCGGCATTTGACCCTGCAGGTAAAGTCCGGTAAACACGTTGCCCTTCCGCCCCCAAACAATGCAGAAGAATGGCCTTGCGTCGCGCTGGTGGGAACTCAGCAGCTCCGTACGCTAGAAGGTAGACTGTTAAGGTCTGCTCCCACTCCTCCCATGGAAGTGACGGCCGGCCGGGCGTCGGGAGGAACGGCGGCGGCGGAGCAAGGCCGGAGAAACTCATGGCGGGACGGACCCAGACGACACTCGATGCTGAAGGTAGCTCGACGGGTTTATCCCATCCTCATCGCCAATGTGGTGTTTGCGAAGACGTTTATTGTACGCAACACAATTAATATATACATAAAAGACAGACGCGCCCCCTGGGGCTGAAAGAACACAAAGTAAAACCGAAACTGAATATAACAGGGACGTGCGTTTTTTTCCGGGTTTTCTCGTGCTCCTCTGGTCACCTACTCGGCGTGTGGGACTGTCTGAAAAACTTTTGTCGCCCTACACTGGACCATTCCGCATCGTTCGTCAAGTGATAGACATCACGTACGAGATTGTTCCAACCGATCCAACAAAGTCATCGTCAGCTCCGAGCGACACCGTTCACGTGGCTCGTCTAAAGCCCTATTACCCCCCTTCGACATCATCTGCGTAAATTTAGCACCGGGACGGTGCTTCTACCGCCGGGGGTTATGATACATAACAGCCGCTAAACACGGCTGCATGAAAGAGGAGGACGAAGTGAGTTTCCGTTTGATGCTGGTCTGGCGCCATCTTGCTCGTCGAGTTCTGTGCGCTGTAAATAGATCATTAAACAAGTTACTCGTAACATTATATAAAAAGAGGGAGGATGTATAGAGAAAAGGCAGGACGTAGAAAGAACTGGCTGCGTTTGCATCCAAACGATCAGAAGAGCAAATTCTGCTCTCGCTTTCCTGTCTAGTACTGTCGGGCTCGTTTCTAAACTCAGTGGCGCGTGTCTGCTATATCTATTCAGTAGTGAAGACAGCCACCAGTGGAAACCAGGGCCAAACAGTCGAGTTTAAACGACGTTTTGCCAGAAATAAAACGAGCGTATTATGGAACAGATGGCGTATGTTCACTTTTTTTTTATCTGGCCCGCTGAGCGTTCATTCGTGCACTTCACGTCTAATAAAGTTTTCATGTTTCCAGCCATCTGACCATCTCCACCAAACCATTGCGTGAAGTGAATGGTGCGATAGGCAGGTTGTGTTTTTTTCCTTTTTTGTAAACAGTTGCGTGTAAAGGAAAGCTGCCTTGTTCACAAGACTTGTGTAGGGCCACGTTCACCTGCGTCTCTGATCTGTTATAAAAGATACTCTCACAGTCAACACTCGATACAGAGATGCCTTTGTTTTGCCCTGCCGCGGTGGTCTAGTGGCTAAGGTACTCGGCTGCTGACCCGCAGGTCGCGGGTTCAAATCCCGACTGCGGCGGCTGCATTTCCGATGGAGGCGGAAATGTTGTAGGCCCGTGTACTCAGATTTGGGTGCAGGTTAAAGAACCCCAGGTGGTCAAAATTTCCGGAGCCCTCCACTACGGCGTCTCTCATAATCGTATGGTGGTTTTGGGACGTTAAACCCCACAAATCTAACCTAATCTATCGAGATGCCTTTAACTTAATTCGTGCAAAATACAGGGTTCTTGTAATGGACAAAGCAGTGGACTACTCAGAGCTTAGCTTTCTAGAGTCATCTGATGTGGTATGCGTTTTTCTCACTGGCTCATCCAACCTTTTTAGTATCTAAAAACGTTGGTAACATCAGAATTTATGCCTTCTAGAGAAGTATCACACGTCTTTTACTTCTGCTCGTTGTTTAGTTCGCAAAAAACTCAGTTTCAGTTTTCCGCTTGCCTGTGTCGGCCTAAAATGAAGGTGTCTGTTCAACATCGATAATTGCTAGGCTTTCGTGTGCCGAACAAGATATCACTCTGAGATACGCTGTAGTGTGCGTATTAAGATTGTAACAGCTTGGGGTCTCCAATTCGCACATACTTCTTCGTTCACGGGTGTCTTTTTTTTATATTTCACCTCAATCGAAGTGCGGCAGCTATGGTCGCTAATCTATACTGCGCCCTCAAGAATAGCAGTTGACACTACACGTGCTTTGCTGCCACGGTGGTTTGCTTGATCAACATCCCTGTGCATACATGCCGCAGACAGGACATACAAATGTTGCCAGAAAAAAAAAAAAATGTATGCAGCTACCACCTACTCTATGCAGCTACTACCTTGTTTTGCTTTACTACAGATGTTGGCAGTGTGGTATCGTTGCAGCATGAACATATCAATGGGGGCAAGTCAGCCACCACTTGCATTAACCGAAAACCCAGCACGCAACCAGAAAATGAAGACGAAGGGCTGCCATCACGACACAGCACTGTCCCTTTGATACTACAGTCGAGCCCGCTTATAACGAACCTGAGCGTGGCGCAACATCCGTTCGGTGTATCCCAAAGTTCGTAGTAAATGAAACACAGCTTTTAAAAAAAGCTGCGAGTGAAAACACACTTTTTTTGCCCTAAAAAGTCCGCGATGCACGTGTTTCGATTAGCAGAAGCGATAAAAAAGGTCTCGAAATCTTTTAAAACGGCAGGGTGCTCATTCGCCGAGGCCCGCGGCATAAGCTGCATGAGGCACTGGCTCCAAAGTTTTGTCGTTCTCGCAATCCGATTCCTCCGAATCACTCTCGCCATGTACCTAATTCACAATGCCCCGATCCGTGCACGGTTCTGCAGTGTCGGCATCATCATCGGCCGTAATTAAACTATCGCAACAGATGTCCCACCCGCTCTCCCAGGTCGGAGTCGCCGACACGCTGCCACAAATTTCTGCCGCAATTTGGAAGCTTCAGGCTCTGCATCAGGCCCGACGTCGACGAAGTCGGCCTCTCGAAAACAGTTTCGCGCGCATGTAGTCGTCACCACCGCCCACGAAATATTTACCGTCTCCACAGCTGAATACAGGGATTCCCGAAGCGGCAACTTGGCTGCCAGGTGGTCAACAGCTATGAGCAAGCGTTCTGCAACACGGCACCTAACGCGCTGATTACGCTCAAGCCAAGAGGTCACACTTTCCACGTTTTGTTGAGCGGCTGGAAAAAGCATTTGTCGGCCATCATGAACACACATGCACACCAAGAGTGAGCAAGACGCGCACACGCGACACACAAGCCAGAGCGTGTGAAACGGCTCTACGCCCGTTTCCAGTCAGAAAACGAAACTAATTTAGCCAGCATGGCGGGCGTCTCGAAGCGGCGGAGATGGGCGAAGGGGTTGTCATCAAGAGAGGTGAGCAGACTTGCGAGAGAAGGGCAAGGAGTTGCGATAAAGTGAGGGGAGGATGCGGCGGGAGGGCGACCTTGAAAACCAAAACACACGGGAAGGAGGCAGGTCACAGAACACCTACCAGTTTGGTCATGTTGGGTAGCTTGCTTGAAAGGTCCGCGAAATTCGCATGTAGAAAAACTTAGAAAGAGTGTCGTCTTGCGCCCTAGAGAAAGGCCATGCGCGTCCGGGCCGGCCGCAGGAGCTGAGAAAGGGACTGAGCCGCTTCCGATGCACGCGAGATAACGTCCAATCTTTATTCCATGCAACCAGCATACATATATAGCAGACACTTATGTGACCAATGACGTCACGTACAAACGACACTTTACAATTGCGGGCGACAGCGCCAGATAACGCGGACACTTGACGCGCCTGGGCGCTATCACCACATCTCCCCTTCTTTAACAATACGCTGACAGTTGCAACAAACTTCGCAGCACTGCCAGCGAAAGAACACTTTGCAGAAACGAAAAATGCGCAAGAACAATACAGTCAATTACTGAACCCGTAGCGGTCCGGCGGTCCGGCCGTCGAACAAGACGACCAGATTGCGTTCGGTATTCAGGAAGGTCAGTTCCCGGCAAGGAATGGCTAGATAGATCGTCAGGCGCCATGCTGTCTGTAACGCGATTAGAATTTTGTTCCGTTTCTACACGACTATCATCTGCCTGAGGAAAATCAACGCTATCTCCCTCATCCTCACCTTCTTTTGGCTGTGAACCAAAGCACACCAAGGATTTCCTGTTTCTTTCTAGAACTACACCAGTGGAAGTTCTAACCACGTACGACCTCGGCCGCTCAGCAAGTCGCAAGACTCGCGCTTTTGCTTTGCAGTCCGTCACCCAGACTTCCGCGCCCGGTTCGAGTGCTCGCAACGAAGTAGCCCTATGACGAAGGTTGAAGTTTCTACGCTGCTGCTGTCGGGCGGTCGTATCATGGCTTCTGAACTTTTTCAGGTTCACCGTCTGAGGCAGAAGGCTTGTGGGATGGACAGGCACCGTTTTGCGTAGCCGCCTGCCCATTAGAAGTTATGCAGGGCTTTTCCCAAGTGGCCCCGGAGTGTCCCTGTACGCTAGGAGAGAAAGATATGGGTCCTTCGCTTTTGTAATGAGACCTTTGATTGTCTGGACCATCCTCTCTACTTCACCATTTGCCGGGGGGTACCTTGGGCTAGACGTCACAGCGCGAAACCCGTAGTTGCGAGCGAACAACTTGTATTCCTGCGACACATATTGCGCTCCGTTATCAGACATAACAACTTCTGGTATGCCATGTCTTGCAAAGAAACTTTTAAGGTGCGTAATGACAGTGGCACTCGTTGTGGGTGATAACAAAGCAATCTCTGGGTACCTAGAAAAATAATCTACGACTACCAAATACCATTTTCCTTGAACATGGCAGAGATCAGCTCCTAGTTTTTACCAAGGACACTGTGGAGTGGTTGTTGGGATCATTGGTTCTGGCTTTTGGTGTCTGTGCTCGGCGCATACGCGGCAATCGGTAACCAAAGCTTTCAGCTGATAACTCAACCCCGGCCACCATACCGACTCTTTGGCTCGAGCTCTGCATTTTTCGATTCCCAGGGGACTCTCGTGCAAGCATATCAAGACCTCTGCGCGCAATTTTCGAGGAATGACCAATCTCATACCTTTAAGTAGCACGCCTTCAGCAACTGTAAGCGTGGCTCTTTCCTGCCAATATGGACGCAAGACCATCGGAAGAGATGAGAATTTTGGCCCCCCTTTCCGGCTGAATTTTACGAGTGCTTGACAAACTTCGTCAGCGGCTTGTTCTGCTTTCACTCTCTCGAAGAGGCTGGCCTCGACCGCGTTTGACAAGCATCCTGAAACGTGCCTGCCGACGTCACTAATAGACAGTGCATTATCAGTTTATTTTCCCCGAATCGGGGCCCTCGACAACACATCTGCAGTAACTAAGTTCTTGCCCGGGACATGCACAACTTTACAGCTGAACCACATGAGCCTCATGCGAAAACGCTGTATGCGAGGTGGTAAAACATCTAAAGGAGATTTTCCCAGCAAGGTCACAAGAGGTTTGTGGTCGGTTTCACACACAATTTCAAGACCTTTGATGTACCCTTCGAATCGTTCTGCCGCCCACGTCATTGCTAGTGCTTCTTTTTCAATCTGGGAATATCTGGTTTCGGCAGGCGGCAACGATCGCGATGCAAAGGCAGCGGGTCGTTTTTCGTTGTTTGGTTGAACTTGCATCAGTACCGCCCCCAAACCGAATGATGACGCATCGGCGGAAAGAATCGTAGGGTACTTTGCATCATAGTTAGCCATGACGCGCTCCGAACCGATAACGTCTTTAACGTATGACAGCGCTTGCTCTTGGGCTTGTCGCCACGTCCATTCAGAACTCTTCAAAAGCAAGTGACGTAACGGCGCCGTTTTTGAAGCCAAATCTGGTATGAATCTTGCCAGATGATTAGTCATACCGAGCAGCCGTCGAACTTCAGACACGTTATTTGGCGTCGGCAGTTCTTTGATGGCCCGGACCTTTTCAGGGTCCGGCCTGATTCCATCTCGACTTAGAATACAACCAAGAAACTTTATCTCGGTTACTCCAAAACAACACTTTTCTTTGTTTAGCGTAACACCAGCACTCATGAGACGGTCTAAAGTAAGACGCAGACGCTCATCATGTTGAGCTTTGTCGCAGCCATAAATGAGCACATCATCCATCATGTTTACCACGCCTGGGATTCCTTCCAGAATCTGCGACATTTTCTTTTGAAAAAACTCAGGTGCTGACGTTATTCCAAACGGTAGCCTCTGAAAACAGTATTGCCCAAATGGCGTAATGAAGGTAGTCAACAATTGGCTTTCCAGCGACAACTTGATCTGATAAAATCCAGAATTAGCATCCAGCTTCGAAAAAACCGATGCCCCACTTAACAGACCAAGGCTATCTTCAACCGTTGGCATAACATAGCGCTCGCGAAGTACACTTTTATTTAGTTGCGTCAAGTCAACGCAAATACGAACGTCTCCGGAAGGTTTGAGTACTGGTACAATACCTGCGCACCATTCTGTTGCTTCGTCTACTTTGCGGATTACGTCATCTCACTCCATACGCTCGAGCTCCTGCTTCACTCGATCCCGCAGGAGTAAGGCAATGCGACGCGCAACCGGGATAGCAAAGGGTATCGAGTTCGGTTTCAGTCTGATATTGTATTCCCCTTTCATAGCTCCCAGACTACCTAAAAGCTGAGGGTAGGAAGCTTCGATGGCTGTTGCGCTACTGACCGAGTCAGCGAACTTGATTAGCTCAAGGGCTTCGAGCGCTGGGAGACCCAAAAGTATCAAGCGTGAAGGCGAGACTACGTACACAGTTTGTCGGACAATGTGTTGTCTCCACTGTATAGTGGCAAGAAATTTTCCGAGAACATGCAGTGGCTCATTCGCAGGGCCTGTTAAGGTTATGTCGCACTTGTCTAATTTGGTAGGCAATCCCGGAAATGTTGAGGGTGGAACGGACACTTCTGCACCCGAGTCAAGTTTACCGAACACCGGAGTGCCGTTAATGATAACTTGAGCATACCGAGAATTGGAGTGCTCCCCATTTACCGCGCCTACGAAATACGCCCCTTTTTCCATATGGAGAAAAGAAATCTGTACCTTCTTTCGCTCGCCTGCAGCCTTCTTCCGACACACCACTGCAAAATGTCCGGAACAACCGCAGTAGTTGCATTTCGCAGCTCGTGCCGGGCAGGAGGTCCTCGGGTGCTCTCCTTGACCGCAGTCGGGGCATGAACTGGATGTGAGAGGTCGGTAGGACTGTGGTGTGGTGCGTTGACCTTGTGTGACCGGTGCACTGGTCCTTGACGAGGTGCCGGAACGCTGTCCTGAAGAATTCTTTCGGGGCTGCCGTTGTTTATTGACCGCGTCAAGGTTGCTGGCTGGCGCTGCCGAAGGTTCGTCGCTGGTTTCTCGCAGCTGTTGCTGCTGTCGTTGGACGGTCTCCTTCAAGCGAGCTTTTGCCAAAGCACTGGCGAGTGTAAGATTTGCATCCATTTGCAGAGACTCCGAGAGCTTGGCATCACTGAGGCCGACTACAAACCGGTCGCGGATCATGCGTTCCTTTTCCTTGTAGTCGCACCGGTCCGCCAGTGTGTGCAACGCGGTGATGAATTGGTCGACTGACTCGCCTGGTTGTTGTATGCGTCGGTGAAAACATGGGCTCTCGTAAACGAGGTTCTGTGCGGCCACGAAGTGATTGTCGAACTTTTTTCTGACGACTTCATACTGCTTCTGCTGTTGTTCAGATAGTGTGAAGGTCGAAAAGATCTCTTTCGCTTGCCTGCCCATTGTGTAGAGTAGAGTCCGGACTTGCGCTTCTTCACTTCGCTCATTTAAGCCAGAGGCAAAGCGGTAGTCGTCGAATAGTTGGATCCAGGGAGGCCATTCGGACGTTCGGTCGAAGTCAAACGCTGGCGGAGCTGGAACCACGAACATGCCGTGAACTGGCTTGACTTCTTTGTCTTCTGACATGGTGCCGCTTGACGAAGACTGGTGCAACGCCCCTCGTATGTCAGAAGAATCCCAATTCTGACACCATGTCGTGTTGCGCCCTCGCGAAAGGCCATGCGCGTCCGGGCCGGCCGCACGAGCTGAGAAAGGGATTGAGCTGCTTCCGATGCGCGCGAGATAACGTCCAACCTTTATTCCATGCAACCAGCATACATATATAGCAGACACTCATGTGACTAATGACGTCACGTACAAACGACACTTTACAATTGCGGGCAACAGCGCCAGACAATGCGGACACTTGACGCGCCTGGGCGCTATCACCAGAAAGAGTGCATGGCCGCCTGAATCGGCAAAACCAGAGAGAGAGGGGGGGGTCATTATCCGCCCCGCGAGTGCTTTAAAGACACCGCTGCTATGTAGTCCTGCAGTCACCCCTAAGAAAGGAACTAAGTTGGTTTTGAAACGTCGGGTTTTTTCAAAACTTTTGGTTGGAGTCTAAATCATCGCCCAGTTTTATACCCAACCAGACAGACAGACTTCTATCGAATGTTTGCATTCAAGTCGTCAGAAGTGGTTGCGGCAGACTTGTCCCCGTCCTTAATGGTGGTTGCTGCGGCGCTTGGCAATGCCGGTGCTGCGGCGGTCGACCCTGCAGGTAAGGTCTGGTAAATACGCTGGCCCTACGCCCCCAGACAATGTAAGAGAATGGCCTTGCATCATCCTGGCATGAACTCAGAGGCCCCGGAAGCTACCGAGTACACGTTGAGCATCTGCTCCCACTGCTTCTATAGTAGTGGCGGTCGGCCAGGCGTTAAAGAACGGCAGTGGAGAGAGGCCGGGGAAGCTCATGTTTGGCCAGGCACGGACACTCGCAGCTGCTTGGGGTACGTTCACGACATCCTCGTTGCCAATGTAGTGTTTATGGCAAAGGAGTCAACGGCCTAGCCAGCGCAATGTACGGAACAAGAACAACCTTCATTGACGATGTACATGGTTTATATAACAATGAGTAAATCGCCCCCTGGGGATGAAAGAACAGAAACGAAACCCAAACAGAATACAATAACGTAGCTTTTAATCATCATAAAAAAAACCTGGAATAATCAGGGAATTTAGAAATATCAAATTTGTAGTCACTCTGAAGAAGCAATAGTTGCCATTATCAATATTATTAGGCCGTGGATGTGTTTTGTAGATGTTAATAAATGACAGATTGAAAAAACAGCAACAGATGGTTTTGAAGAGCAAATTACTATTTAACTACATTTTGTGTGCATTTCACAAAAACTTGTACGTGGATCCCAGCCACTGAGCACGGCGGAATGGGGAGTCGCATTCTTCGCAAGAATTGTTTTCAAAGTCTTTCGCGAATGCAAGCCTGCGTACACCTCAGGAAGAGTGGGGCTGTAGAGAATCTACCGCTGGATGTTTATCGCTTCCTGCCATATGGCGGTAATCTGATAACGCAGAAGGTGCGTAGTGGCACAAGCGGAGCACCTGCTACATAACTGCCCACGCAAGCTCCCTAAAAAAAAAAAAAGCTTAACTCGCTACAGAAAGGTTGATGTCATATGAGAACGTTTGCTTTTACTTTCATTCGTCATTCACGATCCGGCAGTCATCTGCTAGTCAACGAACGTGAGCGCACATGCGTGTATAGCTCTCCTCTGTGATTCATGGCTATGTTGTGGAGCTCAAAGTGAGCGTTTTGCGCTGACTACCTTAAAAGGTATAAGAAGAAGATTGCCTACAAGCGGAACTTTCAAAGTGTGAAAGATTTGAATGTCGCCTAATTATGAAAGCACTTGCCAGAAGAAGCCTCATCCATCAGGGAAACCGGCATTTTGTGCCAGAACTGCATTAACCGCTACAAAGAAATCGCCGCAGACTCTCCGGAAGGATTTCAGTCTGAGGAAAATTTCACTCCAGACAAACTGCTGTTGAGTAGCTAAACATGTTCGTTCAGACGACCGATGTGACACATCTGAAAATTCCGGCGAAACTGAAAAAACATTGCCGTGCCTCCTACGCCAGGCGTAAGAAAGCGGAGATCAAGGGTGCTGTCTCTATGAAAATCGCTGCTGGCCTTAGAGCAGCATACGGGCCTACAGAGAAACCTGATCCTTCAGTGGAAACCCAGACTTCCCGAAAATATCGAGAGCATTGCCATATGTTAGGGTAAAAAATGTGCAGAACGTAATTGCTAAGAATGACGTATGTTAAGCAGGAGCATTTAGCACTTAAAATGCAACAATTTGAAGACCATTAAAAAAAAAGCCATCATCGTTTTTTTGTTTTTTTTTTTAAGCTCTTCAGAATAAAACCCAAGCTCGTGTTCCGACTTGAGCTGTAAAAACATGTTGCAATATTTTTTTGAGAACGGAGTTACAAAGCATGAAACGTGGTAAAAAATACCTAAACAGAAACTGCAACATCGAGCGAGCAGAGAGGAATAGCTGGCATTATCGATATTTTTCGGTCGCGAATTATCGCTTGTGCTCAAGAGACAACAGCTTGACAGAAAAAACAAAAAAATTGTCTTAAATTGGCAGTTTGTACGGCGTAGTAGTTTCAGTCCTGGCGTAAATACTAATCCCAAAATATCCAGAATTGTAGTCGAGACGTCTTCTCGGAAGAAATTGTTTACCCCTGTGTACACAAGGCGTCAGAGTAACAAGTTTACAGTCAGGCAAGTTATACAGTCAGAAACGTCTTCAACGCAGTAGTGTGTTTCTGCCTCCTGGTGAAGCAGCCTTGTGATTTTGGTTTGTGCGGCATGGGGGGCAAGTTGCGCTAGTTTTTAGAGGCATCGATAATAGGGTAGCGGCGGTAATGCGAGTAGACAAGTTGACAGCCCTTTTTGCCCTCAATAAAAGTACCTTCAGAGCCCGAAGGCGATACAGAAGGGAGTGGGTAAGAGTATACATAATAAGAAAGATAAGAGTGAACAAAGAAAAATGCTGCTAAGAGTAAACATCGCATTCAACAGCAGCCTTAAAAAGTGACATCAGTCGATTGGCCAATAGAGGAGGGTAGGTGGTTCCATTCGTTGGGAATAAAGGAATCGTGGAAGAACTTGGTGTGTGAAAAAGGAATGTGTACTTTGTGGGGATGGTCGCACCTATATGACATGTAGTGTGGTTCAGAAAGAAGGTCTTGTTTTAGTTGTGGATTGTGGAAAATTGTATAAAAAAGAACAAGACAGGACACTTTCCTGCGCAAACAAAGAAGTGGAAGGCCCAAAGCTGTTTTCATAGATGATACACTAGATGTGTGTGCGTAGTCTGAGAGGATGAAACGTGCACTCAGATTTTGGATGAAATTTAAGGTTTCAACTAGTGTCTTGGTGCCGGGATCTCATACAGGACTTGCGTTCTCGAGCTTAGGACGAACAAGCGTTTTATTCACTTTGTTTTTATTTCCCTAAAGGCTTTCAAGTCAGCACTTGGAAGGTAAATTCAGTAACTTCGTGGTAAGGACATCTACCATGTCTTTTGCACATTTAATAACCGATTTGGTGGAGCTACGAAGGTTGTATAAGGTTACGTGATGCTTGACGTCGTCCCCAATTCCATCGCAAGCATTCTTGCCATGCCACGGTATGGAAAATAGCCACTGCACCGAGGCGTATTTGGTTGCTGCAAGTTCGTAAAGCTGGTATCGGTTCTTGAAATGGCTCGGGGCACCGTCACTGATGTATACGGCATGTGCATATAACGGAGAAACACTCTCAAGCCACTCGTGCACCTTTGCTAGAGGGTAGCGTGAATGGCCGGTGTCGTGGCCAGTGTCATTGCTGATGACAGCGCAACTGCGGGTTCCTTTATTAGCTGTGACGACGCACGTAAATATTGAGACTTCTTTTTTTCCAGTGATATGATTGAATTTTTCCTGGTAAAAGTATGGTCCAATTTTCTGCGAAGTCAAGATGCAAGAGGACGCAGCCTCTTTCGAGGGATAGTTTAGCTTCACTAATGATCCTACTCTGAACGTGCTGAATGTACTTGTGGGGCACCCATTTCCTTAAGCACTGTTTTAGATGTTTCACGAAAGCATTCGGGCTTACTTGTCTTTTGATAAAGTCTCCTTTATCCCGGGTCGCGAACAAAACTTCATCTTCTGGGAATCCTAGGTCAGATGCGGTAATAGCTTGAGGTGTGGGGCACAAGTTACACAATCACAAGAAAGACTGTGAAGACGGCACTTTACAAATGGTCAGATTGCGAAGGTCTTCGATGCTTCTTTTCTGAGTAGTCGCTCTTTTTAAGGCCGGCACATTAAGCTTAGCGTTTGCACAGTACGTGCAGACACAGACTTCGTGAGGCGAGGCGCACACAAGCCATTTCGGCCTCAGGGAGGAGAACTTTGTCAGCCCGATACCTGTATCTCGGTGAGTCTCTTTAAACAGACGAAACGTTTCTCGAATGGGCCTGGCCATCAGTCGTTTCGAAATGTACTCTTTTTGTCCTTTTGATCTAATTTCAGTTACATCTTTCTTTTTTGGACTTCCTTGGGCGCAGTTCAGTTCATCTTCAGTGCAGAATTTTTTTGCTGGCAGGATATCTTCCGGATTCAACTTTGATCTAGTGCAGAGGTCCGGACTTGACCACACCCCAAGGGTGTCTCTGAGTTTTCTGGGTTTCTGAATGAGGTGTCAAGTTGCCAAAGAGATCATTTCTTGAATCTTTTGTTGAGAAAGGTTCACAGGGAGAAATGGCAAGAGGCGGCAGCATTCGTGGTATATACGATTCGCGGATATGAAATGCTTTCTTTATATTGCGCAGCCACTCGCAGCACATATTGCACGTTTTTGCCGAAGGGCCAGGTTTCTCTGTAGGCTCGTACGCTGCTGTAAGGCCAACAGAAATTTTCCTGGAGACAGCATCTTTGATCTTCGCTTTCTTACACTTAGTGTAGGAGGCTCAGCAATGTGTTTTCAGTTTCGCCGGAATTTTCAGGGGTGTCGCATCGATCGTTTAAACGAACACATTTAGCTCCTCAACAGCAGTTTGTTCTGG